GGGTTTGAGGCAGTGTGATGTAGTCAATCTGCCAGGCCTCTCCATACTTATATTTGGACCATCGCCCCCCATACCAGAGGGGCTTCACCCGCTTGGCCTGCTTGATGGCAGCGCATGTCTCACAGTCATGGATAACTTGAGAAATACTGTCCATGGTTAGATCCTCCCCTCGGTCTCGTGCCCACTTATAGGTGGCATCTCTGCCCTGATGACCTGAGGCATCAAGGGCCCATCGAGCCAGGAACAACTCTCCCTTGTGCTGCCAGTCTAAATCTATCTGCGACACCTCTATCTGTGCTGCCTGATCTACCTGCTCATTGTGTCAGTGTTCATTAGCCCAACTCTTGGGGACATGGGCATCTACATGACGGACTTTCACAGGCAGCTTCTCTACCCAGGTGGCAATGTCTTTCTATTCATTGGCAGCCCAGATTGGTTTTCCCTTACGTTGCCAGTCAGCCTTTTTCCACCTTTCCAGCCAACCCCACAGAGCATTGGCTACCATCCATGAATCAGTGTAAAGGTAGAGTTTTGGCCACTTCTCTCTTTCAGCAATGTCCAGGGCCAGCTGAACAGCTTTGAGTTCAGCAAGTTGACTCGATCCACCTTCTCCTTCGGTAGCTTGTGCGACCTGTCGTGTGGGGCTCCATACAGCTGCTTTCCACAATGCGGCAGGAACCATCAGTGAAAAGAGCATAGCGTGTTTCATCTGCTGGCAGTTGGTTATACGGTGGGGCTTCTTCGGCCCAGGTTACTTGTTCCTGTTCCTCTTCATTGGCAAGACCAAAGTTTTCCCCTTCCGGCCAGTTGGTAATTATCTCCAAAATCCCAGGGCAATTTGGGTTTCCAATACAGGGGCGTTGTGTGATGAGAGAAATCCATTTGCTCCATGTGGCGTCAGTGGCATGGTGGGTTGAGGGAACCTTTCCTTTAAACATCCACCCCAGCACTGGTAGTCGGGGTGCCAGGAGGAGTTGTGTTTCCGTGCCAACCACCTCTGAGGCAGCTTGAACCCCTTCATAGGCGGCCAAGATCTCCCTCTCCGTTGGAGTGTAGTTGGCCTTGGACCCTCTGTAGCTTCGACTCCAGAACCCCAGTGGTCGGCCTCGCGTCTCACCAGGCAC